ATTGTAGTGCCTGGTCTATGCTGCCTTGCAGTACAGTGTGCAGCAACCAGATCCCAGTCAATAGGAAAGTGGCCATAGGGCAGAGCATAATCAAAAGTAGCTACATTTCCTCCTTCTTCCAAGGGCTTTTGGCTCCTGTACCTGCTCGGAATCCTGTCACAGAGTATGCCAATTATTGTGCTCTTTTACCTGCCCATAATCCTACCGACTGGGACAATTGTCAAGCTAGGGCTGGGTCTGAAGCTCACAGACCCCTCAAGCCAGTTGTCCAAACTGGGACTGGGTCACAAACCCTTCACACTCCAGGCTGGGTCCCCAGACTCCTCACACACCAGGCTGGGTCACCAGACCCCTCACACTTAGGTCTATGAGCTAGATAACTGGCAGAAAAGTCCTTGGAGCCATAGGTTTGAGAGCATGGCTGCATGGGGCGGATGCCCAAGGCAGTCAATGTCAGCCAGGTCTCAGTGTTGCATATACACTAACTCCACCCGCAGACAACTTATTTACAAAGAATGTGCCACACCACCCCCAACTGGACCTAAGGTGAGGGGGCTTGATTAAATTATTCTATTTTCCCAAGAGAAAGTAAGGGAGAATGAGAAGGTAAGGAATCTCTCAGGTTTCTGGCTTGTGACAGGATGGATGACAGTATCGTTAGCTAAGATGAGAACATAAGAGGAACGTGGGATTTTTTAGGAGAAAGGTGATCAGCTCAGCTTTGAACATGTTCAGTGATGTCACTTTCCAGAGGCATTGACTAGACATCTTCCAGGCAAGGGAAAATGTTGATCAGATGTAAGATTTGGAAATCATGACTAACAGGTAATAGTTATGACCGTGAGAGTGAATAGCAGAGCTTAGGATAGAGATCACAAACTAGAGGCTCAGGAGCCAGATCAGATTCACTGATGTGTTTTGTTTGTCCTGCACAGTGTTTTTAAACAATTGAATTACTTGGCAACTTTTCATCATTAGATGCTATGTAAAAGTCTAGATTTGTGGATTGAAAGGCTGCAAAATTTGGTAACATCCCTGTAAGGCATTCAACTAGAGCGAACCAAGGTGCCCCCTTTAGAGAGGCATGCACACTCCAGTTCCTCTTACTCCTCTTCATTGTTTTATATAGTCAGTACTACTTACTTGTTTTATTCCTTTACACTCCTTGCCTGGTCTCTAAGGTACTGAGTCTTTAACTTCTGACTTAGTGAGATCTAAAGTGAGGGGGGAAAGTGAGTTAAGATAGAGTCCTAGGGACACTGTCGTTCAAGAGCATGAGAATCAACAGAGCAGTTTGGGGGTAATATAATGGTTTATACTTCTATACTACATAAGAGTCAAGTAGGGGGAGGACTGAAAAGTGACCCTTAGACTTCATGACTAGGAAGGCACTGGCAACCTTCAAATCATTTCTATAGAGCGGTGGGGACTACAGACAGTCTGCAGTGGTTTGAGGAGTTCCTGAAAGATAAAGTACTCATTTTTTCCCCAAAGTATGGATAAAAAGAAAAGAAAAGAGATGTAGCCTGAGCTTGAGAGAGGTAAGTGTTAAGGAAGGGTTTTTTATAGAGTCGGTGAGATTTGAGCATGTTTATAGGCAGCCAGGAAAGATTCAGGAGAGAGTGAAAGGCTGGCAATGCAGGAGAGAGAGGATAATCAGTGGAGTTTTCTGAGGAATTCAGAGAGATAGGATCCACAGCTCAGGTGGGAGATCTGGTTGTGAACAGGAAGGGAGACACCATCTTTTTTGATAATTGTCCTCAATTAGGACCTCTTCCCGCTATCTTCATTCTCCTTCCCCTGGTTAGTCTCCACATGCTAGAGAACTCACATGCCATGTGAGTTCTATTGTCACTCTGGAGGCAATACAATAAGATTCCTAACTAAATAGCCACTGAACATGGAGAAAGCCATTGCTGGCAGCAGCTTGAAAAGCAAGAGTGGGAGAATTAATGGGAAAACGTCCCATTTTTTCTTGTGTTTTTCCTAATATTTACCCAAATATTCAGAAGTTTTAGAGCCAATATGATTTCCTCCCCTAAATGTTCTGGCTTTTTCCCCAAGCCTTCCCCATCTCCCTCATCTCTGGTAACAATGATAGTGTCAGCTCCCCACAGTCATTTGTCCCTTGCTCCTGATACCCAGTGGGGCTAGGAATTGAAGCAAGTTCCATTGGAAGAAGAGAAGATGAAGAAGAGAAAGTCCTTATCTGCTGTTCTCTGGGACTGTCTGCCTATCAGGCCAATTAGTGCATTTTATTAAAGAAGATATGCAAAGGATTCTGTTGTCCTAGAGTTGGGTTTTTTGTTTTTAAATTTTGCTAGCAGTCGTAGAGAAAACAAGGGCTAGAAGAGACCTGAGAGATCACCTAGTCCAGCACTGATATGCAAAGGATTCTGTTGTCCTAGAGTTGGGTTTTTTGTTTTTAAATTTTGCTAGCAGTCATAGAGAAAACAAGGGCTAGAAGAGACCTGAGAGATCACCTAGTCCAGCACTAATGCCTTTGGGACCTTGTGGCAGGACTGTCAGGCAGTGAGGCAGATAGATTCTGGGCCCTCTGCTCATGCTTCCACCAGAGCAGCTCTGGATTATATATCCTAAAATTTATGAAAGATTGCTTGATTAAATAAAAAGAAAGGGGGTCTTTTGCTAAGCAGGGTTCTGGCAGACAACCAGTGGTTTCAGTAACAGACTGTCTTGTTGGAACACGGGATACACAGCCTGGCCTTGGTTATCTGGACACATAGTGCTAGGGACACTGGACCTTGATTAAATAAAAAGAAAGGGGGTCTTTTGCTAAGCAGGGTTCTGGCAGACAACCAGTGGCTTCAGTAACAGACTCTCTTGTTGGAACACGGGATACACAGCCTGGCCTTGGTTATCTGGACACATAGTGCTAGGGACACTGGAAAGCCATTTCTCTTTGTCAACAATGATTTCTTATGTCTTCCTTTTTAGGTGACCACTCCCTACCTGTCCAGAAGCCACTGAACTTCAGGAGGTTTCCCAGGACATGTCCCCACCAGAGCGAGGGTTATGGTTACAACCATCACAATGAAGGAGCCCCTTTTCCTAGAGGCAGTACCTGGGGCAGTAAAGAAGGAGGAGGAGGACTACAGGGAATCCTGGGGCTAGGTGAAGACCAGGCAAGGGGCGGGGTGACCTCCAAACAGGCTTACTGTAAATAGGCAAGGGAAACAGTTGACTTGCAGGAGGCGAACAACGGCCTAAAACCTCTAAAGCATCAAACGAAAATGTCTCAGCTTCCTGTGTTCACACATCAGAGAGAATTTTCCCTGTCTGAAGTCCAGACCTTTCAAATGAAGTTTGAAGGCCTTAGCTTGGCATTCCAGGCCCTGCCTGATGTGACTGTGGTCTCCCATTCCAGCTTTGTCTCCCACTGCACCCAGATGACCATGACAGTCTTCTCCCAGCACACTCTGCTTTTCTACCACATTGCCCACCTTGTTCCCTTTACCTGGAGGAAACCTCCAGGCTCAGCCTCCAAGCTCTCTACCTTTGAATTTTAGCTGCTTTCAAGATGCAGTTCAAATGCCACCTCCCCCAGGAAGCCTTGAGCAATTGCTTCTATGTCTTCTTGAGCTGTAAGTATTCTTTCCCTCACCAGCCTTCCTTTATCTCTATTTGACTTGTACTTTATCTCTTTACATAACTCACCCCACTTGATTTTTGGCTCTTGGGCAACAGGAAAGTCTTAGCTAGCTAATGCCTCTTATTAACTTGGAATCAAACTTGAGAGAGGTGTTGTACCCTCCTTTCCATCCTCACCATTCCCTGGTGAAAAGAGGACAAGAGCTCCCGACCCTGTAATAAGGTCTGGTCTCCACTTTTTCCTCGTTGATCTCACAGTCCTCCATACCTTCAGAGACAGAGTTGCTCCTGGAAGATTTTTCCTCAAGCCCCATCGTCCAAGAGGATTTTTTGAGGCTTTTTGTCTGACGTGGCCCCTACCTAACACTGAGGCAAGGAGTGGACATGGGCAAAGGGGTTTGGGGGTTGCCAGGAAGTCTGAGTGTCTTGGTAAGTGGGAAGAGCCCCATGACAGAGGTGTGAGGAGGGAGGAGACCTGGGGTCTGGGCCCAGATCTGGAATGTGGGCAGGTCGGTTCACTGCACCACATCCAGTGCAATCTAGCTTCAGGGTAACCTGAAACTAGAGCTTGATGGGGGTGACCTGAGTGTGGCCTCTGTCACCCTTGCCCTTCAGGGTTGCCTGGCTCTGCAGTGGCAGTGGGGTCTCTGCTAGCTCTTAGTGCGGGGGAGGGTCTGCAGCTTCAGGGTTTTCGGAGCATAGAGATCCCTGAGGGTTCTTTAACATCTGTATAAGATATTTTCTTGTCAGCTGTGGACACAGGTACAAAGTACATTTTCACAGTCCTTCTGAGAACTCAATTTCTGCATTATCCTTGTGCTCAGGAGGACACCTTACATTTGAAAATATTCCCAAATTCTAAGGCTTACCAAGCCAGAACAGACTGTGGCATGGGCGAGGGGCTCTCTTCAACAAGTATAGGGCTGATCCCAGTGATAATGGTGAATGAGAGATTATGAGAGTTTATTACAAAGCAGGAATGACAAAAGTTTTAAAGTACAAAAAGAGATTAGAGGAGGAGTGGGAAGAATGACAAGAGCTGAGGAAGGAAAACAAAAAGGGAAGTGGGAAGAGGAGGAAAGCAGCGGGGAGAGCAGGGAGGGATGGGGAGAGTGTATAAGAAACAGGAAGAGAAAACATGGGGAGGAGAGGGGAAAAAGCCCAGAAGGAACATGACTTTTGTCCCATTGCAGCCATCTGCAGGCCCAGCCTCCCCTTTCAAGTTCATTTTCAGCAGAAATGTGAAAACTTCCCCCAGGCCTGTACATCTTGAATTCCTCATACTACTGGACAGCCTGCTGAGCTCCAGTCGGCTGTTTTAGAACAAGCAGCACTCCCAAAGGTTACCTAGCCCTTTCTGGTGCAGCCTGGCTCAGAAACACAAGAACATGGGCAAGGAGAGGTGCGAGCAGTCCCCAGAATCTGGCCTGTTCCCTGCCCCCAAAGCAAGAGGTCTTTATAATCCACCTGAGTGTCATGTTGAGGAATAGGAACATTCTCATTCTTTGTCGGTGTCTGTGTGTGTGACAAATCCTGCTGCCTCTCACCTCTGTTCCCCTGCCTTACTGGCTGCCCACCAACTTTCTTCTGCAGCCACATTAGGAGTATAGATAGTCTGTAGACATGTAAGCATCATGAGTGTCTAGAGTATATGCCAGTATTACTTGAAAATGTTTTGTCTCCATCATAGGAAATGGGTGACATTTCTATTTTCTGTATCTTCTGTTAGATTATGAGACCGAATCTGAAATCGAGGAGTTGGTTCCAAAGCAGGAAGTATCAGAAGAAACAGATACACAGAACCACCTCCAGAGAACTTCAGAATAATGATTCCTGAGAAAGCAGGATTGGAGGATTCAGAAATTGGAATGACGGTTTGAAAACTCATCAGGGAAATCCTTCCAGGGAGATGTTGGAGACAAAAACCAGAAATGTAAAGCCAGCAGAAATCAAGGATGCAAAAATCTCCCCAGAGAAGAAAAGCCAGAAAGGTAAAGAACTTGAGAACTTCTTTAATCTAAGCTCAAAAAGTATTTCACATTTGAGAATTCACAGGGAGAAGAACAAGGAGCCAGTTTCAGAAGTCAAAGCACAAGACACAGCTTATGACAGGCTTCAGAGGGGAGCCCCTCTGGCAGCCAGCTTTAGAGGAGCCCTGGGAGGGCAAAGAAATGCAGAGAGGCAGCAGGGAAGCCAGGCAGGACCGAGAACAAGGACAAGGAATAGAGTTTCCAGACATGTTCCCCTCAGAGACGGAAGTGCCCTTGATGAGGAAAGAGGGCAACAAAACTACCAAGGGGAGAAACCCTTTATCTGTAAAGAGTGTGGAAAAGCCTTTGGTCAGAGGGCAAACCTCATTGTGCACCAGAGAACCCACTCCAGGGAGAAACCTTTTCTATGCAATGAATGAGGAAAAGTCTTCAGTCAGCAATCATACCTCATACGACATCAGAAGATCCACACAGGTGAGAAACCCTATGAATGCCAGGAATGTGGGAAGACCTTCAGCCAGAGCTCAAAGTTCATCAGGGTGTTCACACTGGGGAGAAATCTTTTGAATGTGGGAAAAACTTTAGTCAGAGTTCAGGCCTCACTGTACATCAGAGGATCCACACAGGTGAGAAACCATTTGAGTGTAATGACTGTGGCAAAGCCTTCAGTTGTAGCTCATACCTTATGCATCAAAGAATTCACACTGGGGAGAAACCCTATCGGTGTAACAAGTGTGGAAAAGCCTTTGGACAGAGCTCCAGGCAACTCACGCCCGGAAGAAACCTCAGCTAGTTGCTTGTGTTAGTGCCCACTGTTAATGGGAGAAAGTTTAAGGCTCATGTTCATGTGCTTGTTTTACTCAGACTGTCTTCTCATAAATACTAGGAAGTGGGTGAGAGTTCACAGACTATTCACTGCTGGAAATCTGGATCCACACAGTCACTTCTGCTTGTATGTTGTTTTTTTCACTTGTCTTGATTTTGTATGTGTGTCTCTAACCAGTTTTTGAGTTCCAAGAAGCAGACACAAGGTCCTCTCTATATTATAACAGGAAACTGAGGAATTCTTCATTTCTACAATGCTGATTAGGAAATTCTATGTATCAAGAAATTTATAACCTGATAATCTTGCAAGATCCCACTTGCTTTGAAGATTTGTAATTTGCCAAATGCAGAGCTTTAATGGGCTGTGAGTTGGGGAGCTTAGAAGGCACACTCTGAGAAGTACTGAAATTTAGAATATCATATCCTCTTTCAAATCTAGGCTGCCTTTGGAAATTACTCAAGCAGAGGAGGATACATAGGATGATAGAATCATCAAAGAGAACTTGACAGACTGGAACTACGGATTGAGGTTAGCAAAATGAAATATCAAATCCTGTCCATAGGATTAAGGAGTCTAAGACTCTCAGAACAGAAATGTTTGGATCCTTGAACATTAGGCATGCCGGGAAGGGTGTCTTTCTTTTTTGTTGGCTGGCTGGTATGGAGGTCTGAACACTTGACCTTGGTGTTATAACACCACACTCTAACCAACTGAGCTAACCGGCCAGCCCGAAAGTTGTCTTTAAAAGTATCATCCTGGGCCGGCCCGTGGCTCACTCGGGAGAGTGTGGTGCTGATAACACCAAGGCCCCGGGTTCGGATCCCATATAGGGATGGCCGGTTGGCTCGCTGCCTGAGCGTGGTGCTGACAACACCAAGCCAAGGGTTAAGATCCCCTTACCAGTCATCTTTAAAAACAAACAAACAAACAAACAAAAAATAAATAAAATAAAAATAAAAGTATCATCCTGGGCCGGCCCGGTGGTGTACTCGGTAGAGTGCGGCGCTCCCGCCGAGGGTTCAGATCTCATATAGAGACCGGTCCGCTCACTGGTTGAGCGCGGTGCGGGCGCGACACCGAGGGTTGCGATCCCGTTGCCGGTCACGAAAAAAAAAAATAAAGTATCATCCTTCTCTCTCATTTACAGTTGCCAAGCCGCTAAGGGCTGAGGTCCTAGTCTTAGAGCCTGTTCCTTCCCCTCTACACCATCTGGGTTGACTTTTCCTTAAAAGGAAAAAAATATGTGTGTGTGTGTGTGTGTGTGTGTGTGTGTGTGTAAAATAAAGTAATAATCTCAGCAATCTGCCACTTATACAAGAGGAGATTTATTACCTTTATTTTTTACTTTTTTGGCAGCTGGCCAGTAAAAGGATCTGAACCCTTCACCTTGGTGTTAAAACACATTCTCTAACCAACTGAGCTAATCAGACAGCCCTTTGTTACCTTCAGACTGAAGGAAAAATATGACAGCAGGAATTCAGTATACTTCAGTATGTATTGTAATGATAGTTGCCCATTACTAGGAGTTTAGATCAGCCCTCCCAGTAACTCAGGAGTTGGTCCTCTCTTGAGTATGGATCCATAGTCCCCAACCCCGGAGGGTCAATTTTAGAGGTTTTATGAAACTGGAAAATTGACTCTCAAAATGCCTCTTGCTACTTAATTCCAGGTTAATTTCAGCATAAGATATACTCTACCTTTCAACCACTAGTAGGTGAGGCAGGGATGCTGGGAATTAGTCAACAGCTTGACTTCTGGCACCAAGAAAAGCCTAGGGTGAGTTGCAATTACAACCATGTCTGTCAGCTCAAGCTGCTTGCAGGTCACAGGCAATTGAAATTTCAAAGTATAAGAATTTTTTAAAATATAAGAATAAAAAATTTCCATCCAAAGTTTGAGAAAATCCTTATTTCTTGCAGGGCCGGCCTGTGGCTCACTCGGGAGAGTGTGGTGCTGATAACACCAAGGCCAGGGTTCGGATCCCATATAGGGATGGCTGGTTTGCTTATTTCTTGCAAACTACTTCCCCATTGCTTCTTTGGGCAAACACCAGGGCTGTTTGCCTTGTTACAGAAGTCTGTTTTAACTAAGCAGAGGTGTAGGGTAAGCACACCAATCCAGGCATTCATGAGAGCAACTGTTGATCTTGTGTGTTTGCACAATAAGCATCTAAAACAGACTGTGCAACTCCTTGGTTTTAGTTTGCATGAGACTTAGTATATTAGTCCATTTCCGTTGCTTATGACAAAATACTTGGAACTGGGTGGATGATTTATAAAGAAAATGAAGTTTATTGCTTATAGTTTATGAGGCTGGGAAGTCCAAAGTCCATCTGGTCGTGGTGACAGTGACCCAGGGGTCTCACACTGCAAGATGGTCGAAGAAGAGAGAGCAGGGCGAGTAAGAGAGAGAGAGAGAGACACACACTCTCTTCTTTTAAAGCCCTCAGTACCATGCCCCTGACCACCATTTTTAATCTACTCACTACTGCGTGGTCCTACAATCCAATCACCTCTTAAGGCTCCACCTTCAATTACCATAATAGGATTTCCCACCCTCTTAACAGTAACAGTGGGGGGTCAAGTTTCTAATACATAAAACTTGGGGAACACCAGTCTAGCTTCAGTGAGTTTTGGGGGAACATAGTTCAATCCACTACACTGAGCATCTGTGTCAAACTCTTAGTTGCCTTGCACAGAGACCTGGGTAAGGACTGCAGGCCTGAAAATGAAGGGAAGTTAATTTTTTACTTGGACAAAAGTAGAGCACACTTGTGCAGTAAAGTAGAGCCACACTCCGGGATGTAGGATTTAGCTTTCCTGAAGTGCAGGGGAGATAATGTCCCTTGGATGGACTTCAGTGACAGACAGGATTCAGCAGATAAATCTCAGTTCTTATTCTTCCCACTACTACCCAACAGACTGTCTGAAGACCTGCTGGTTCTGCAAGTTGTGCTCCTTTCTAAACAACATGACACATGACTGGAGGACCAATTGGGTTTTCTTTGGGCAAACTTGATAACACATTACCTTGAATTTACTTTTCTCCCACCCTGCATTGACTTATCTTTTTTCCTTTCCTCTTGCAGACCTGGGCTTGCATCTCCCAATATAAGCTTTTGCCTCAGATTCTATTTTATAGGGAGCCTGTGACAAGGCAACCCTCTAGGGGTAAAAAAACCCCAAAACCTTTTTTCCCCAGTGACCCTTTATCAATCCCAGGAAAGAATTCCAATGGCCTTGTTTATGTGACATGACAACCCTTGAATCATGTGCAGTTGTCAAGAGGATGGGTGTTGTAATTGGCAAGAGCAGGAACATGTACTCCCTAAGAGGAGAGTGCAGAGTCATTAGCAGAAAGAGAATGGGAAAGTGCACTGAGCAAGCAAAAACTATCGCTACCACAGTCTACTACAGACAGGCGGGAGTTATTCCTTGCTGTCTTGAATAAGCTTTACTTCTAACAGTCTGCAAAAGAACTTAGAGGTCTGTTAAAAGATAACATTAGAAAAAAAAAAAGATAAAATCATGACTCATACAAATGTTAAATAAACATGTAAGATTTTGTTTAACCCATTATTAATGAGGGAACAGATAAGATGTTACAACCAGTTCAAAGAAGTCAAAGAAGGTCCAGCCCGTGGCTCACTTGGGAGAGCGTGGTGCTGACAACACCAAGTCAAGGGTTTAGATCCCCTTACAGGCCATATTTTGAATTAAAAAAAAAAAAAAAAGTCAAAGAAAGATAAATTTAAATGGCTTTGACTCCACACCTGCCTCTTACCAATGTGAATTACCACCAAGGGCAGTGGGTTAGGGGAGTGACTTGGAGGAATGGGTACTAGTTTCTTTAACCATTCTTTGGATTACTTCCTAACTGTTTGTATATCCTCTGATCTTAACATCTCTTTCCCAACTCCTGCCCCCACCTTGTTTAAGTGTGCACCACAGGTAAGGGAGGAACACGAAGAGGTGGGAAGCTGGTGGTACAGTCTGGGTGGCAGAGAACAGAGTGGTGAAGGTGGCCATGGGAAGAGAAAAGAGGGAAAGAGGCATGGAAGAGACCTGCTAGCGGTGACCTGCATGTCCATCCATCTAGGACATGATGACTAGTTGGGTGTGTGGAGCAAGGGAAGATGAGTGATTCCAAAGATCTTATCCCAGGAGCTCAGAGCATTGCTGATACTAACCCAGAAGGAGAAGAACATGTTGTGGGGGGTGGGGAGGAGGAACAGATCAGGGTGGGGCAGGTGTTTGGGGGGTTTAACCCTCAAAGGTTAAAAGGGGCTGGTAATTCTTCCCAATGGAGCACCTCAGCAAGGAACAGGAGATGTCAGAAAGGGCTGGAGATTTGAAATTGGGTGGAGTCCCATGAAAGATTTGGGATTGTGGGGATTCAGAGTTCCAAGGGAGAATGTGTGCTCCAAGGAGCACTGAAGTCCTCTAATAAAATTGCTCAGGGCCAGCACGTGGCTCACTTGGGAGAGTGTGGTGCTGATAACAAGGCCACTGGTTCCGATCCCTATATAGGGATGGCTGGTTAGCTCACTGGGTGAGTGTGGTGCTGACAACACCAAGTCAAGGGTTAAGATCCCCTTACCGGTCATCTTTAAAAAACAAACAAACAACAACAAAAAAACCCCGTGCTCATCCATACATGTGACATGGTTGCATGGGAGAAATTATCCCTCCATTCAGGGATCCTCCCAAGACATCCCACTTCCGTTCAGCCAGGTGACCTTAGGGACTTTCTCCAAACCAGGGACATGTAAATGTCTTGACTGCTGCCCCACCTGACACCACTCCTTTATCCCCTTCCTCAGTCACCTACTCTGAAATGGAGCAAACCCACCCCTGGTGTGACCTATGGTGTCGAGTCCGGACTCTAGCTACTCACTCTGCCTACTCTGCCTGCATTCCAATCCCTTTTCCACCACTTACTGCATGTCCCTGAGCAAACTTCTTAAC